CGCGCTGCAGGCGCTCGCCCGCGAGGCCGAGTGCGCGTGCGCCGCCACCCGGACGCGCCGGGCGCCTCCAAGGTAGCGCTGGAGTCCGAAATGTAAACCCGGTTTTAGGAAAGGCAGAACCATGCTTTTTTGGAGTGAAATAGCAAAACCACTTCGGAAAATCCGAGTTGACTGAATGAAGGTGAAACTTTTACGCTAATCAGTGTCTCTTTTAGTCCAGATCTTCGTTGTGACTGTATAAAACCACTGCAAGAGCAAATACATATCTGGCAGTACTTAACCAGGGAGCTGGCACTCCGTAAGTGACTTTTAAGTTGAACAGACATGAACCGTAACGTGTGTTTATTGAGCACCTACTTTATGCCCAAAACTACCTCGTTCACTAAGTACAAAGAAATATGACGGCATTCTGGTTTACAAAGGGGCTTGTACTCTTGTGGTAGAGTCAAGATAAACAAACACCAAAGTTATCACATAGTATTATAATTTATCTGTTTACTTGTCAGTGGACCAAATAATCTGAATTCTTGAGGGCTGCAATTGTATCTTTATTCCTTCTTATGTCATCAGTGCACAGCACAATCTTAGTTTGTGTAGGTTCTCAATATTTACTGACCAAATGAATCACTGAATAAAAATAGTAGTAAAATACTAAAATACGTTCTAGGGACCATTAGAGAACTAGATTGAATAAATATAATTTGGGAGACACTAATCTTTAAGGTGATTTTATTCCCACTTTTTTCCAAAGCAACTTTATATTAGAATTAGATGTCATAATTAATTTGCTTTGCAGCTGGAAGAGCATTAGATCAGCAGTAGGTATACTTCAGAATCTAGCCGCAACTGAAACATTAAAAGCAGTGGAATATACAGAAACGGGCGTGGGCTCTGGACTCAGACTGTCTAGGTAGGAATTAAGCTCTCACTAGCGCAAGTTAACTTTTAAATCCCGTAACCTAAGGATAAGATAGTACTACCTAGCTCACACGGTTGTGGGAATTAAAAGAGCTAAGTGCATTCCAGTATCCGGCATATACTTGTGACATCCTCTCTGAGCCTCTGTTACTAATGTGAAACAGGAGAAAGGTCTCTAGATTTTCAGGTCTAACGTCCTCTACCTTATTGCTTTACTTCCGAGTCTGCCTTTTTTGGTCTCTGTCCCCATCTCTGTTCTTACTTCTAGACCTTTACTTTCCAATTCTAAACCTATACGTTCCAATTCCATCCGATCTATATTTTAAAATTCCACCCTTTGTATCTTGTACACCCTACTTCACCCCTTTTTAAAAACAAATTATTAAAAGATAATTGTGAAAATGAACACTTTCAGACACTGCAACCCCGCACACGGCAGACACTACGGCAGCGCAATCCGTCACTTCAGCCCAGAGCGTTGCATGCCGGGAGTTGTAGTCCGACGCTGGAGCACGCACCTGCGCGCCTCTCCGGTTTGAAAGGCGGGAGAAGGGCCGGGCGGGCGGGGCGTCGAGGCTGAGGCGCGCTCTAAGCCCCGCCCCCACCCCGTCCTCTCGCGGGGTTGGCTAGGAGCGGCGCGCCGCCGCGGAAGGGGCGTGGCCTCGGCGGCGGGCGGTGGCGGCCTCTTCCTCGGGCGG